AGGCCACCCCCCCCCCGTCCCGCTGGCCTCTCAGTTGGAGAGGGGAGACCCAGCGATCGAGCGCCAGTCCTCCTTTGCCGCTCCCACCCCGCGGGACCCGTCCCGCGCTGCTTTGCCTTTTGTTCTTTCTTTTTTCCTTTTCTCCTACCAGATTTTTGGCGTCTTTATCTTTTGAAGAGGGCGGTGTTCTGTCGGAGTTCCGAGGTGCTCTGGTTGGCTGAGTGAGTCTGTAGATGTGGATCTTGGTGTATTTGTGGGAGAGGGTGACTTACAAGCATCGTTCTACTCTGCCATCTTGCCTCTTCCCCCACTCTGTGTCTTTTGATTGGAGCATTTGGCCCATTGACGCTTATAGTAATTATTGATAGATCTGTCTTTATTGCCATTTTGAACTTTGTTTTTCTAGTTGATTTGGTATTTCTTCTTTGTTCCTTTCTTTTCCTTTTTGTTTTTCTTTTTGTGGTTTGATAATTTTCTTTTGTATTATCTTGGTTTCTTTTTGGTTTTTGTGACTCTATTGTATGTTTTTGATTTGTGGTTACCCTGTTTTTCAAGCATGTTAACTCCTTATTATATCTGTTTGCTTTAAACCAGTAGTCATGTCGGCTCAAACACATCCTGTGAAGAATGAAGGGGAAAAAAGAAAGAAGAAAAAAGAGAGAGAGAGAGAAATCTCTATTTTCTTGTTCCCCCTTCCACATTTTATGATTCTGATGCCCTTTTCCTTTTTTTTTTTTTTAACAACTTCATGTTTATTCTCTTGCAACTCATTGTAGTTACCACATTTCCAATTATGGTTTTCTTATTTCTATAGCTTTCTGCTTCTTTTCTATTTAGAGTAGGGTTTTCAATATTTCTTTTAGGATAGGTTTAGTATTGCTGAATTCTTTTAGTTTTTGCTTGTCTGTGAAATTCTTTATCTCTTCTTCTGCTCTAAAGGATAGTCTTGCTGGATAGAGTATCCTAGGTTGCACCTTTTTCTTTCAGGACTTCAAATGTATTTTGCCACTGCCTTCTGGCCAGCAGTGTCTGTGTAGAGAAATCAGCTAAAAGCCTTATGGGGATTCCCTTGTAACTAACTCTTTGTTTTTCTCTTGCTACCTTTAAAACCATTTCTTTAACTTTGGCCAACTTAATTGTAATATGTCTTAGTGCAGGTCTGTTTGGGTTCTTGTTTGGGACACTCTGTGCTTCCTGTACTTGGATATCTGTTTTGTTCTTTAGGTTTGGAAAGTTTTCAGTTATGATTTCTTCAAATACCTTTTCAATCCCCTTTGCTCTTTCTTCTCCTTCTGGGACCCCTATTATGTGTAGGTTGGCATACTTTATATTATCCCATAGGTCCTTTATGTTGCTTTCATTGGTTTTTACTTGCTCTTCTGTCTGCTGTTCTGATTGGGCGTCTTCTAAATCACTTATTCATTCCTCTGCATTATCTAGTCTGCTTTTGCTGCCTTTAGCTTGGCTCTTCTGAGACTGCCAAGGCAC